AAGGAACCAGTATAAAATTTGTGCTTTATTGCTTTGCTTCTTAAAAAAATTTTCCTTTATATGTCCTTCATAAAAACCATCATCTAAACATCTTATTTTAAATCATCTATCTTTTGAGAATCCATTAGACGCTGCTTTGTGAAAAGTTTTAAAACATTATTCACCTCCTCTAGTGTATTCCTATGATTTCACATATTATGTTCCATTTGGTGTCTTGGTTTTAGTTTCTTTTGATTAAAATTATCTTCTTCTCTAGAGTACTGGAAGTGAACCTTCACATCTAGATAACCTTGGTTATCTTAATGTCCAATGAGAATCTTTCTTGAGCTTTCTTAATCACTTACACACCATATAATATTAAACCATAATCTTTATCATTCATTGTGAGTCTTGAACTCATCATCCTCCTCTTTTTGGAGAAAATACAACCACAAATTCTTAAATTCTACATAAAAAGGAGAAAGATCACCCACATTAAAAGTGTCATGTTATAATTAGGGGGTAAATCTAACTTATAAGCATTATTGTTTATTTTCCTAACTACTTGGAAAAGGTCATCCCCTCTAGGGTGGATTTTGGAATTCCTTTGAGTAGGGAACCTTTCTTTTCTCAAGTGAAGTCATACCCAATCACCCTCTTTAAAGGTAACCTCTTTCCTACCTTTATTGGAAAACCTTTAGTATTACCCTACCTTCCTTTCTATGTTACCCTTGACTTAAGCATGTAAGTCTTAGATCATCTTAGCATGCTTTTCTCAATCTTGGCAAGTCCATGCCTCACAAGTGGGAAAGGGAAAGAGATCTAGAGGTGTGAAGGGATTAAGCCCATAGGCAACCTCAAAGGGAGAGTGTGAAGTAATGGAGTACATCATTCTACTGTATGCAAACTCTATATGAGGCAGAAGATCTTCCCACTTCCTAGGATTATGCATTATCATGCACCTAAACATTTAACCCAAAGTCTTATTAACCACCTCGGTTTGGCCTTCGGTTTAGGGGGTGACAAGTGGTAGAAAATAGAAGTTTAGTGCTAAGCTTTCCCCCACAATGTCCTCCAAAAGTGGCTTAAGAATTATGATCACTTACTATGGTTCTAGGGATGCCATGAAGTCTTACTACTTCCTTAAAGAAAAAATCTGCAATTAATCTTGCATCATCCACTTTTTAGCATGGGATAAAATAAGTTATCTTTGAAATCCTATATATCACCACAAAGATAGAATCCCTATCCTTCTTTGTCTTTGGAAGCCCTAGTATAAAATCCTAAGGTCTCTAGTACACTCCTTAAATAATGCACATGTTCTTCCTTAGACAAGCTATATATGAGAATGTCATCAAAGTAGACTATTACAAACTTGCCTAAGAATTATGTAAGCACATGATGAACGAGTCTCATGAAGGTACCAGGTGTATTAATCAAACCATAAGGCATAATTAACCTCTCATAGTCTAAACTTAGAGTCAAAGGTATTCCTAATTTACATAAGAGTAAAGAAATCTAATGTAAATTTATGTCAGAGTTATTAACAATATAACATAAATTTACGTTGAAGAAATAACCAAATATCAATTTACTTCTTATACAATGTTTGACCTTTAGAAGCCATAAAAAGTCTAAAATAACAAACATAAAAAATCTTCTTTATGTTAGTCTCAACAAGAAAACACTAGGTTCTATAACAAAAAGAATCATGGACAAATGTGTCCACCCAATTTGCCAAAAGATATACATGCATCTTGGTTGAAGGTTGACCTTTTTTTTTTTTTGAAAACAAAATTGCCAAAGACATTTTATTTATTAAAACTATATACACTACATGGAAATTTGCTACAAGTAATCGCTGAGACAATGCCAATCCAGCCTAAATATGTGAAAAGATACTTATGATAGTTGAGGAGTCCCCACTCCAAAAATGACCCAACATTTAAAGTCTTGAAGCATCCAAAATAACACTATTTAAACCTTTTTGCTTAGTTTGACTCAAGGTTAAGGGATTATATATATACCATTATAAATGGATTATATAGACTCTAATCATGAATTATGACCCACACCCTCAACATTCGATTTGATAAAGATTCAATGCTCATACATTTGTCTTTTAACATAAAATCTTCTTTACGAAAATTAAGTTGTCCCATAACCAAATTATTAATCACCTAGAGGCCATGTGTATTAGTTTAGTCTTCTAAAGGGAATAAAACTTATCCAAGTTGGTTATATAGTTTGCTAGTTACTAACACAAAGATCTAATAAAAATTACAAAGAATCTTAAGCAAATTATCTTTAATAAGTTGTTTATTACTCTTTTTTTAGTGTACCATTAAGATATCAAAATGAATCATATTCATTAAAGTGAGACGAATGCAACCCTTTTACCTTAAATGGCTCAAGGCTAAGGGACTGCATATTGTAATTGTAATAGTTAGAGTTTTATTTGATAATCAGCTAAGAATAAAGTTTAGTGTAGTGTCTACTTTATAACTTAACTAATCATGTATAGAATGATCTGATATTTGAATATACTATTTACTTATAAAACCATATTCTGTGATAATCTTCAAAACACTTACCTTGAATATAGGACTGATAAATCCATGAATAGTTTTTCAATTTTGGTTTAATACATCATTTGATCCCTAGTTTGGGGCGTTGTGTTCAAAGTCGTCATACCTTTTAAATAGTTCACTATTGTCCCATATTTAGTTAAAAACAGTTCAACTTGGTCCTTTTGGCTTACGGCGTTAAAAACATAACGGTGCAATGATGTGACAACAGTGACTTGTCCATTTTTTTATGATGCGAAAACTGTGACCCAATTGACGTGGCCAGAAACCCTAATTTTCCTAAGGCCAGAAACCCTTGTGCCATTACCGTGAAACCCTAGCCGCCGCCGTTGTCGTAGAACGAAACACGCCACCACCAAACCCTCACGCCACCATGTCACCGTCACCACTATCAACATAGACCTACAATTCGAAGTAGAGAAACTGTGACCTGTGCAATGTTTATGCGAGAGAGCCTTCATGATTCTGCACCTTGACTCGCAAACAACCCATGGTGGCGCAACGCATTTGATCAGCGATGAACGAAGAAGAAGCTCTCGTTCTAGGCTTTTGCTCTTTGCAAAGAAGACGAAGATGGAGGACGCATGAAGAGGCTTCTTGCACGATGCATGGAGGCACATTGTTTCTACGTTTCTGGCTTTGCAATTTGTAGGTTGGTGTCCATGGATATTGTTTGCGAACTAGGGTTTCTGCGATTTGGGTAGCGATTATGTATGTTTATAGTTTTCTGCAAGTGTGAATTGAGTTTCTAAGTGTCGCAATTGCGATATTCTTGTTCATATTTAAGTTGAAATTTTTAGTTTGCAGGTTAGGGATTTCGATTCAGTTCTTACTTAATGGTGGTGAGGCGCAACACATGGTGGAGATTTTGCCTTGATTACTAGTGACGCGGTTTAGGGTCTCATGGTGGCTAGGGTTTGGTTGGAATTAGGCGATTTGGGTTTGATTTCTGGGTTTTTTGTTGCTTTTCTCTACTTCGAATTGTAGGTCTGTGTTGATGGTGGTGATGGCGGCATGGTGGCCAAAGGGTTTGGTGGTGGCGCGTTTCGTTCTACGGCGGCGGCGGCGGCTAGGGTTTCACGGTGGTGACACAAGGGTTTCTGGCCTTAGGGAAATTAGGGTTTCTAGCCACATCAATTGGGTCACAGTTGTCGCATCATAAAAAATTGGACAGGTCACAGTTGCTACATCATTGCACCGTTATGTTTTTAACGCCGTAAGTCAGAAGGACCAACTTGAACCGTTTTTAACGAAATATAAGACAATAGTGAACTTTTTTAAAAGGTAGGACGATTTTGAACACAACGTCCCAAACTTAGAATCAAATGATGTATTAAACCTTCAATTTTATAGTATTCTCATGTACACAAGATTCCCTAACAATCACTCGTATTAAAAAATAATAGCAGTGACACAAGAAAAAGATAAGCAAATATTGAAACCCTACCCTAAGCTTTGTTCTAGTTCTAGTTTACCAAAATCTAAACCAGAACAAAAGTACGTAATGCGATTCTTCACGCATTACAATGTGTATTCTTCACGTAACTTTCTATTACGTACACATTTAGATCTCTATAATAATATATGAATAATAATGTATGATGAAATATCTTTATTTTATAGAATTTTATGTTATTATTTAACTTCAATTATATTTTAAAATATGATATTTTACACTTCAAAATTATTATTTTGTTACAGCAATACAAAATAATAAAAATAAATCACATATTTATTTAATTGTAAATACAAATGTTCTATAATATAATTGCGCTCTTTTATTCTTCTTTCAAGCAGAAAGTACAATCTATATCATTTGACTATCTTTATTTAAATAATATAATATTAAAATTAATATAAATAATATAAAATGATCCATTCATTCTTATTTATTCATTTTTATTTGTTATCTGTTATTTTGATATTTATACAATTACAATTTCTTTTAACATTTAAAATTTGAAATTTAAAAAAAAATATATATTTTGATATTAAATATTTGACATTATCACTTTTTTTATTATGCTTTTTATATTTTCATAAAAATTATTTAATTAAGATTAGAATAGTAAGAATGCAATTACCAAAACCCAAAACGTATAAACTCTTTTCTGTTCCGTTCCCTGTCATCTCTTACTAATTTAAGGACGTTTCGAAGACTTTTATCCTTTGGGAACTGTGTGCATGAAAGTATATTATTTTTGCCAGCACGTTAGAGTCCGCTCATATATAAAAGGCCACCGAACAATGCCCCAAGAATGTATGAACACGTACGTAGTGGAATACGCTATCACAACCGTTTGGAAAGACCACATTTATAACACTTTCAATTCAAAACATAAACTGTAATAATATATATCTATATCTATATATCTATATCTATATATCTATATATATATATATATATAAAGTATATTTCTATACGCGAGATTTGTGGTTTGTTCTTTGAACAAGTGAAGGAAAGAATCATGGCTGCTTGGAATTCAGTTCCGCTGCATGTCTCCTATGAAGTTATGGGTTGGTTTGCTTTTGCTTCCTGGTCCATCAGTTTCTATCCGCAAGTCATCTTGAACTTTCGCAGAAAAAGGTACCATTTACTACCAGTTTTTGTGTAATTTTTTTTCTTTTCAGTTCCTTATCTTATGACTTTTTGCTTCTATTTTATTGTGTTTTGTATTGCTTTGTTGTATAGTGTGGTGGGCTTGAACTTTGATTTCGTGTTGCTGAATTTCACGAAACACTCTTCGTATCTCATATACAATGCATCTCTGTACATCAGCTCTACTGTTCAGAAACAGTACAGAAACAAATATGGTCAGAAAGAGGTTTGTTCATATCCATTTTTTTTATTGAAGTTAAATTGATTAATCTCAGTGTGTGCTAAAGTGAAAGGGGAAAGTTATGTTTGTCACTTTACACAGTTTCGTATCGAGATATTTTGATAATCTGATGTGCTTGCGTTCCAACTTCAAATTCTTGCACTGCATTGTTAGGTTATCGACCCTTATATTGTCCACGGTGGTTCTTGTGGTTAGCACAGTCTTTTCCTTGTATAAGTGTTTGGGCTTTGTCGTTTAATGTTAGGAGAAACTACACATGAGCCAACAAACCCACTAATCCATGAAAATGCCTATTAAAGAAAAAATTGTGCAGACTCATGATTATAGAGTGTGGAGTACTTTAAATATGATGACAAACAAATTTAAGGTTGGAACAATTTGTAAATTATTTTATAATTAATATCTTCGTTCTTGGTATATCGTGTGTATTCATTCTGTCATGCCTCAGGCAAATGCAACTTACGGAAGGCTAGAAGTTTTTTCTTTCTTTGTTTAATGTCTGCATAAATTCATTATTAGCTGAAGGTGATTCAGCATTTTTTGATATATTTCAGATGATACCTGTGGCAGCAAATGATGTTGCTTTTTCAGTCCATGCTGTTTTGCTGACAGCAATTTCCTTGTTCCAGATTGCTGTATATGATGTTAGTACTATGCTCCCTCTAATTGAGCTTATTGTTCTTGTTATGAATTTATGATTATCCTAAAACAGGTTAAGTTTTCATGTAGCGGGGAAGTCAGAAAGTCTCTAAAATCGCATATGGAGTTCTCCTTGTTACATGGACCTCTGCAGCAGTCTGTTTCTTTGTAGCATTGCACAATCATAACTGGCTCTGGCTAATCTCAATCTTCTCGTATGTTTTCTGTTTTAGTTTGTTACATGACAATTGGCATTAATTTGACTTCCTATTGTGGATTATTAAGAAATTTGCGTTGGAGAATCATAATAAGACCAAGTTTTTTACCATGCCATTGTTACATATAACATGCATCATGAATGATGAATGTGTTAACAAATTTCTTTCTGACTTTTCTTGAAACTGATTCACTTGCAGTGACATTCAAGTTTGTATGACGGTTATAAAATACATTCCCCAGGTCAGGACCTATTCGAGTTTTTATGATTTCCTTTTAATTATAGTTTCTCGTGTTTATATTATCTCAATTTGATTGCTGAGATAATTTAGCTCTAGGAACTAGGGACCAGTAAGATTATGATAGTCTTGTCTTCAATGAAGCATATTTTGGAATGCAAACATAAACAATCTGAAGAAGGGCTTTTTACTAAATTGGCGAGAACTGCTGCATATTTCTTTGGTCATAAAGTGAACTTATTGTTTGTTGAAACATGCTAACCATTTTATCTCAAGTAGTAAGTTGTGATATTGAATATAGGCAGTGATGAACTTTATGAGAAAAAGTACAGAAGGCTGGAGCATTGTTAACATTCTACTCGACTTTTCTGGCTCCGTAGCTAACTATGCGCAAATGTCTATGCAATCAATCGATCAACGTAAGTCATCTTCTTTACCAAAGGATTTTGTTCCATTTATAGTTAAAAAAATGCTAGTAGCATACTCTTTTAAACACTCTACTATTGATTGCAAAACATTTAAAATCATATCATTTTGGCTGTTGAACTTTTTGTTAACAAGTCTCAATCATGATTTTGCAATGTTTAATAAGTTCTAAAAATCAATATTATAAAAGAGTATGTNGCTTTGCAATTTGTAGGTTGGTGTCCATGGATATTGTTTGCGAACTAGGGTTTCTGCGATTTGGGTAGCGATTATGTATGTTTATAGTTTTCTGCAAGTGTGAATTGAGTTTCTAAGTGTCGCAATTGCGATATTCTTGTTCATATTTAAGTTGAAATTTTTAGTTTGCAGGTTAGGGATTTCGATTCAGTTCTTACTTAATGGTGGTGAGGCGCAACACATGGTGGAGATTTTGCCTTGATTACTAGTGACGCGGTTTAGGGTCTCATGGTGGCTAGGGTTTGGTTGGAATTAGGCGATTTGGGTTTGATTTCTGGGTTTTTTGTTGCTTTTCTCTACTTCGAATTGTAGGTCTGTGTTGATGGTGGTGATGGCGGCATGGTGGCCAAAGGGTTTGGTGGTGGCGCGTTTCGTTCTACGGCGGCGGCGGCGGCTAGGGTTTCACGGTGGTGACACAAGGGTTTCTGGCCTTAGGGAAATTAGGGTTTCTAGCCACATCAATTGGGTCACAGTTGTCGCATCATAAAAAATTGGACAGGTCACAGTTGCTACATCATTGCACCGTTATGTTTTTAACGCCGTAAGTCAAAAGGACCAACTTGAACCGTTTTTAACGAAATATAAGACAATAGTGAACTTTTTTAAAAGGTAGGACGATTTTGAACACAACGTCCCAAACTTAGAATCAAATGATGTATTAAACCTTCAATTTTATAGTATTCTCATGTACACAAGATTCCCTAACAATCACTCGTATTAAAAAATAATAGCAGTGACACAAGAAAAAGATAAGCAAATATTGAAACCCTACCCTAAGCTTTGTTCTAGTTCTAGTTTACCAAAATCTAAACCAGAACAAAAGTACGTAATGCGATTCTTCACGCATTACAATGTGTATTCTTCACGTAACTTTCTATTACGTACACATTTAGATCTCTATAATAATATATGAATAATAATGTATGATGAAATATCTTTATTTTATAGAATTTTATGTTATTATTTAACTTCAATTATATTTTAAAATATGATATTTTACACTTCAAAATTATTATTTTGTTACAGCAATACAAAATAATAAAAATAAATCACATATTTATTTAATTGTAAATACAAATGTTCTATAATATAATTGCGCTCTTTTATTCTTCTTTCAAGCAGAAAGTACAATCTATATCATTTGACTATCTTTATTTAAATAATATAATATTAAAATTAATATAAATAATATAAAATGATCCATTCATTCTTATTTATTCATTTTTATTTGTTATCTGTTATTTTGATATTTATACAATTACAATTTCTTTTAACATTTAAAATTTGAAATTTAAAAAAAAATATATATTTTGATATTAAATATTTGACATTATCACTTTTTTTATTATGCTTTTTATATTTTCATAAAAATTATTTAATTAAGATTAGAATAGTAAGAATGCAATTACCAAAACCCAAAACGTATAAACTCTTTTCTGTTCCGTTCCCTGTCATCTCTTACTAATTTAAGGACGTTTCGAAGACTTTTATCCTTTGGGAACTGTGTGCATGAAAGTATATTATTTTTGCCAGCACGTTAGAGTCCGCTCATATATAAAAGGCCACCGAACAATGCCCCAAGAATGTATGAACACGTACGTAGTGGAATACGCTATCACAACCGTTTGGAAAGACCACATTTATAACACTTTCAATTCAAAACATAAACTGTAATAATATATATCTATATCTATATATCTATATCTATATATCTATATATATATATATATATAAAGTATATTTCTATACGCGAGATTTGTGGTTTGTTCTTTGAACAAGTGAAGGAAAGAATCATGGCTGCTTGGAATTCAGTTCCGCTGCATGTCTCCTATGAAGTTATGGGTTGGTTTGCTTTTGCTTCCTGGTCCATCAGTTTCTATCCGCAAGTCATCTTGAACTTTCGCAGAAAAAGGTACCATTTACTACCAGTTTTTGTGTAATTTTTTTTCTTTTCAGTTCCTTATCTTATGACTTTTTGCTTCTATTTTATTGTGTTTTGTATTGCTTTGTTGTATAGTGTGGTGGGCTTGAACTTTGATTTCGTGTTGCTGAATTTCACGAAACACTCTTCGTATCTCATATACAATGCATCTCTGTACATCAGCTCTACTGTTCAGAAACAGTACAGAAACAAATATGGTCAGAAAGAGGTTTGTTCATATCCATTTTTTTTATTGAAGTTAAATTGATTAATCTCAGTATGTGCTAAAGTGAAAGGGGAAAGTTATGTTTGTCACTTTACACAGTTTCGTATCGAGATATTTTGATAATCTGATGTGCTTGCGTTCCAACTTCAAATTCTTGCACTGCATTGTTAGGTTATCGACCCTTATATTGTCCACGGTGGTTCTTGTGGTTAGCACAGTCTTTTCCTTGTATAAGTGTTTGGGCTTTGTCGTTTAATGTTAGGAGAAACTACACATGAGCCAACAAACCCACTAATCCATGAAAATGCCTATTAAAGAAAAAATTGTGCAGACTCATGATTATAGAGTGTGGAGTACTTTAAATATGATGACAAACAAATTTAAGGTTGGAACAATTTGTAAATTATTTTATAATTAATATCTTCGTTCTTGGTATATCGTGTGTATTCATTCTGTCATGCCTCAAGCAAATGCAACTTACGGAAGGCTAGAAGTTTTTTCTTTCTTTGTTTAATGTCTGCATAAATTCATTATTAGCTGAAGGTGATTCAGCATTTTTTGATATATTTCAGATGATACCTGTGGCAGCAAATGATGTTGCTTTTTCAGTCCATGCTGTTTTGCTGACAGCAATTTCCTTGTTCCAGATTGCTGTATATGATGTTAGTACTATGCTCCCTCTAATTGAGCTTATTGTTCTTGTTATGAATTTATGATTATCCTAAAACAGGTTAAGTTTTCATGTAGCGGGGAAGTCAGAAAGTCTCTAAAATCGCATATGGAGTTCTCCTTGTTACATGGACCTCTGCAGCAGTCTGTTTCTTTGTAGCATTGCACAATCATAACTGGCTCTGGCTAATCTCAATCTTCTCGTATGTTTTCTGTTTTAGTTTGTTACATGACAATTGGCATTAATTTGACTTCCTATTGTGGATTATTAAGAAATTTGCGTTGGAGAATCATAATAAGACCAAGTTTTTTACCATGCCATTGTTACATATAACATGCATCATGAATGATGAATGTGTTAACAAATTTCTTTCTGACTTTTCTTGAAACTGATTCACTTGCAGTGACATTCAAGTTTGTATGACGGTTATAAAATACATTCCCCAGGTCAGGACCTATTCGAGTTTTTATGATTTCCTTTTAATTATAGTTTCTCGTGTTTATATTATCTCAATTTGATTGCTGAGATAATTTAGCTCTAGGAACTAGGGACCAGTAAGATTATGATAGTCTTGTCTTCAATGAAGCATATTTTGGAATGCAAACATAAACAATCTGAAGAAGGGCTTTTTACTAAATTGGCGAGAACTGCTGCATATTTCTTTGGTCATAAAGTGAACTTATTGTTTGTTGAAACATGCTAACCATTTTATCTCAAGTAGTAAGTTGTGATATTGAATATAGGCAGTGATGAACTTTATGAGAAAAAGTACAGAAGGCTGGAGCATTGTTAACATTCTACTCGACTTTTCTGGCTCCGTAGCTAACTATGCGCAAATGTCTATGCAATCAATCGATCAACGTAAGTCATCTTCTTTACCAAAGGATTTTGTTCCATTTATAGTTAAAAAAATGCTAGTAGCATACTCTTTTAAACACTCTACTATTGATTGCAAAACATTTAAAATCATATCATTTTGGCTGTTGAACTTTTTGTTAACAAGTCTCAATCATGATTTTGCAATGTTTAATAAGTTCTAAAAATCAATATTATAAAAGAGTATGTAGCTATTATCTTCTTTACGGTTTAAATTGATATCCAACTTTGATTTCCAGATTCTTGGGTGAACTTCTATGGAAATATAGGGAAACTGCTGCTATCTCTGGTGTTTATTTTTTTTTTCTGCAAGAGATTTTACTTGTTAGATAGTTATTCTGATCCAATAGAACTTTTAACTAATATAGCTATTCATAAAATGAACCATTGCAGGTGTCTGTATTCTTTGACATCCTTTTCATGTGCCAACATTATCTGTTATATCCTGTGAAGAAACGAAAATTAGAGGCATCTCCTGAACGTGATAGTGCCAAGTCTTCAGATAAACCATTTGAGAATGTCTAACATGGAACTTGTGTCATGATTTCTCTTGTAATGAACTCAATCCTAATTGATCCTTTTGCATTGAAAATTCAATAACCGTAAATGCTATTAGTGTATAAAGATAAAAGCATCAAACAAAAAGTTGTTAGTGTCCTTATCATTTTCTTCTTTAATTTCCAACCAACTATTCACCCTCTATAAGTATTGGATTGTGTGGCGATGTGAGCTGATATTGTTTTGTAAAATTTAGCATGGTTTGTTTGACCACAATGGCTGACTCGGGTAATTGAGATCCTAAACAAATTTTCTTTTAGTAGCTTGCTCCACTATCCCAAAACAACTTTAACTGTATTGATCTTGCTAAATATTAAAATCTAGTATGTGCTCTTATTTTAGTATTCAGAGTGTGTACTTTAGGTAGAAAAAAGGGTTACATTTACCTTGTGTTTGGACGTGACATTTCAACAATTTCAAGAAACTGAAGTACATTGAATTATTTTCATTTTATAATTACTTTGTTTGGATGAATAAATTAAAATATCTTATATTTCAATTTTCTTATTTGATAAAAAAATTTAGTTTCTCTTACATAATTCTATTTTAAAAATATTTAAATAACTCCACTTTATCCTTTAATACGATTGGAGGTGATTTAACTTGACCTTTGATATAAGATTAAGAGATTATGATTAGCTCGATACTTGTTGATCTATCTTAGGTATTCAAGAGAGTGACCTAGAACATGGTACTCGGATAAGAATGGCAAAAAAGTTGACAAATGTCCATGACCAACCCACCAGCCTACCTAAAACAGATGGGTTGGGTTGAAATTTTCAACCTGCTAACCCGTTTTGACCCATCTCGCCAAATTAATGGGTAAAAGATCGGTCAACTCATGTTAGTCCGCTTTTCTTTAATTTAAAAATAAAAATAAAAATAAAAAATAATTTAAAATATTAACTTTTTTATATTATATCTTTTTAAAGATGTAAAAGTTCAACAGTATTGTAATTTAAATCATTAACCCTTAGAACTTCTAATAATTAGTTATAATGGAATAATTTAACATGTAAATGCATTAATTAGTTTTAGAAATTTTTTATATAATTAAATATGCTTTTAATATTTATTTATATGTATATATATAAACAATTTATAAAAATAAAAAAATTTAAAAATAAAAAGTGCTCGCTTGCCTGCTTTGTGGCCAAGTAAGTTAATATTTTTTGTCATTTTAATATGGCGAGCTAGCTCGACCTAACCCATTTTTGGAGGGCCAAGGATGGGTCAGGCCAAAATGGGTCAGATTGGCCCTTTTTGTCACCCTTAACTTGTGGTTCTTTCTCTTTCTTGTATCCTAGAAGGTGTGAATAACAAATAATTGGAGGTGTTTTTAGCAAAGGAGGCATGGACAACATGGGAGAGGTTTCATTAGGAGCGCAAAGAGCACATGGGGGTTGTCTTAACCCAAAGGAGAACATGGATCAGTTGCTTAGCTTGCAAAGGAAAAAATATGACATGTTTAAATGTGTTACATGTTTCAAATCTAAGATCTTAGTTTAGTAGCAACAAATTACGGAGTTAATCATGTTTAAGTTTGATTTAATCTTTTTCCCTAATCAGTTGGCCTCTCATCAATACATAAAAAGCCTCTACTTTTGTATTTCATATTTTAATATTAGTAAAGAAACTTTGGTGTTTTTATAGAGGATCAAGTGACTACTCATGTTTTTAGTCTTATCTTGATTTTTATGTTTAAGTGGTGAGTCATCTTCACTCATATTGGATAATCCTTCTAAGTGACATTGTAGCGAATGTTCTAGCTTCAGTTGAAGTTTGTCCAATCACATGCATCCTTCATTCAGTTCAGTTGATCTTCAACCAAGTGAAAGAAAGTTTAGTGAATCTAAAAGCTTCAAAAACCTTCTTCAAGAGTGAGGATGCATGTATCTTTTCAAGGCACCTTGGCCTCCAAGAAATGTGCTAAGGATTACTTAAGGCCCAAGTAAGCCTAAAAAGCACCTTAGTTCAAATAGTCACTTAAGAATCAAGTTAAAATGTTAAAATTGTAATTCTACAAAATGTTGTATGTTTTAATCGACTATGAAACTTACATATTCGATTAAATTAAAGAAATGCACTCTTCGCATAATGCTATATGTTTTAATTGATTAATTGATTTATATAGTCGATTAAATTAAAGATTATTGTTGGGTGTGGAACAACCCAAGTATATCAGCAAGTATATTAGGTAGTTAGTAGTATAACAAGTGTTGGATTTATAAGATTTGACAAAAAATACTATGTTTTAACTAGTTTTGTCATTCAATGTAAAGTAACAAAGATTTTAATGTGAACAAAACAAGTTTAATTTGTGAAATAAATGTGATATCTGTTGGAAAACACATTAGATTGATAAATGAGTTAATTTCATATGATAAAACTGTGTTGGAGTTCGACCTTACCACTTTTTCCTTCTCTTATAGAAAATCTATCAATACATATGATGATGCTAGTGATCAAGTCTTGGGAGTTCTCTTAGGTGTAACTCTAGATCCATTCCTAACACCTGGAACTTAGAATCATCACCCTTTAGTATGATTTTCAGTGGCTGCTTGAACAGATCACCTACACTAATACCAACACTATGACTCCAACTGCAACTCTAGATTTATTCCTAGCATCTAAAAGCACACAAGATAATTGATTTGACCACAACTTAAAACTAATTCCCACTAAATCTTAAGCTAGTGAAGTAAGACAAGTAATCAATTCATCCAACATTAAGCATAAATCAATTAACAAACTTTGAGTCAAAAGGAAGTAGACATAAATAAAGATCATACCAAATATAAGAGAGTTCAAAGCAATTACACCTCACTCCAACATTTAGGAGATTTAGTTCTTCATAATGAGTAGAAAGAAGTTACAACTTGGAGGAAATTCCATCTCCTAATCCTTTAATGATGTTCTATTTAATATAGAGGAAATGTGTAGAATTTCTCTTTAAATCTCTCTAAAAATCCTTTAAAAAAGGTCTCTCAAAGGTCTGATCCATAAAATAAAAGAGAAACTCTATTTATTTATATAGACTCTGAGACAACATGACTGGAGTGGTAACTTTGTGTGAGATTTTTTTTTCTAGGTGGGTTTCCTCCATGAATTGAGCCTTAAGTCAAAGCTTTTTGAAACCTTCCACGATGTTTTCTTCTTGTGGAAGAACATGGTATCACAATTTGGAGGTACACACAATTATATTGAAGATAAAGCCATATTTCAGTTTTTGTTATTGAATAGATGAAATAGATTATTTAGTGTCTTTAGGTCAATAAAGTCCAATAAAAAAATTATTCTGTTCATAAGTTAAGGTCAAATGATTCTACTCTAAGTTCAATAAATATCCAATTCCTTAATTATTGTATTATTAAGCTTTTAATTCGAGCAATGGTCAAAATAAGATATATAAATAAAAAAATACTAAATATTCATAACATGGTGCTGAACGAAATAAGAACGGAACCTTTTTATGTTGAAATTATGTAGTTGGTGAATTTTTCAGATATTTAAAATAGATTCAATCGTTTACGTCAGCGTTATAGTCTTTGATATTTAAGGAACGCACCTACGCAGTTGATGATTGCTGTTGCGCGAGCGAAGAAAATGGCTTCGTGGAATTCGTTTGAACTCGAAGTTGTGTACGAGGCTCTGGGTTGGTTCGCTTTCGTTTCCTGGTCCATCAGTTTCTACCCTCAAGTCATCTTGAATTTTCGCAGGAGGAGGTACCATCTTCCTCTTCTCTCATCCTCTATGTTTTTGATTAAACTTAAATATTTTATTATTAATTTTTCTTTTTAATTTAGTGTGGTTGGGCTCAACTTCGATTTCGTGGTACTGAATCTGACAAAGCACAGTACCTATCTCATATACAACGCTTCTCTCTACTTCAGCTCTGCTATTCAGAAGCAATACTTCGACAAATACGGTTATGGAGAGGTTCCTTCTCAAACACACTTCAATCGTTTATCAATTAAATGAACACGACAACGTTTCATGTGTGCTAAACTCTTCATGTCATATCATATCACGCTCTGAAAGGCAATTTTATCATTATCTGAGAGAGTGGTTCTTCGCATAAATTTCTTAGACTTCCAGGAAAATATGAAGAATAAATAAAATCTACTTTTCTGCATGGTAAAATAAACTTATTTATAAGTTAAAAAATTCAGATTTTTGGAAAAGCTGATGTAAAATACTTTATGATAAATAACTCTACATAAAGTTTTACTGTAGGAAAAAACGCATTTTATTTTTTCTCTTATAAAAGTGGTTACATTGAAGTTTATGTAAACAAACCCTATATGAATTATGTTTGAATCACAAATTGTCGTATAAGTTTCGTTTATTGAATGTAATATAACTTTAGAGTAGAATGAATGGTGATTCCCGATCGATTGGCTAGTGTAGAAGTGGTTCATATCGTGAGAACAAAAATAGGAATTGCTCTTGAAGGAACGGTTAAGGACTCTTTTGTTGTTGTTTTTTGGAGAAAATTTTGACGATTGGAAAATTGTGAATTGTTTGAGAGTTGAAGTAATATTTGTTGTGTGTATAAACATTTAGAGATCGATGATATGGTTTTAATTCCGCCTACTTCAGATGATACCTGTGGCTGCAAATGATGTTGCTTTCTCGATCCATGCTGTTCTACTGACGGCAATCACGTTGTTCCAGATTGCAATCTACGAAGTAAGAATGATATTGTTGAAAAATGAGAATATTCTTCGTTTTTGTTCTATGGACTGAGTTATCGATTTTTTACTGAACTTAATAATTGTTTGTTTGCAGCGTGGGAGTCAGAAAGTGTCCAAAGTTTCTATTGGAATTGTCTCTGTTGCTTGGCTTATTGCAGCAGTTTGTTTCTTTATTGCTTTGTCAAATCATTCCTGGCTTTGGCTTATCTCCATATTCAAGTATGTTGTCCATGCTTACTTGGTTAATTGCTTTTGTTTCGTTCTTTATGGCCTTCAATTTAATCTCAGAATATATTCGTGGATATAGTTTTTGTTTTATAGGGGATGTTAATTGTTTTACTACTGAAGATTAGATATTGTTTAGTTTCTGACACCAATTTATGGAGCTCACATGTGGTAAATTTTTCGGTGCTTTCTTGAGACCACTAATTCATCTCGAGCTGGCATGCTATTCACAGAATAGGAGAAAGCTTATTTCTTTTTCATCAATT